CCCACCAGTACAAGTCACTTTACATGTTAAAAAATTTTTGAATGATGGCAAAATTGAGTGTTGTCCGCCGCCTGTTTCTGAAGCGAATCCATCGTGCACCGATATTACTTCGCAATAATGTCTCCTAAAGCGTCACCGAACGGCGATTAGCTGTTTTTTTATTTCAGATTTCTATTTTTTTTTAGACTGGCAGAATTAATGGAAATTGTTTTTGTTACATTTCTGGATGAGGATGAGAATTGTTGGTTATCAGAGCCCGAGATGTTGTTGAGATATTTCTTTTCTCTGTTCGCTAAACAAGTTGTAGTTCATTACTATGCTGTATGTCATCGGCGCTTCTTTAAGGTGCGTAACAATTAACATTATTTACACTACACTATTTATAATCTACTACTCAAGCGATCAATTGTCTTTAAGGTAGGAAATTTTGTCAAGCCAGTAATGGTGCACATCCGGGTTGCTGATGCGACCATGTGTTCTTAGGACCAGCTAAAATGACTGAATCAAAACATCAGATTACAGATAACATTCTCTAACCTTTACATGGCAGAGCGCCGCATGCACACACTCCAGAGAGGCTCGTTACTTGTATAGGTCGCTTCACCCTTTCTTACTACAGTGCTTCCGCTCTGCCCTTTAGCTCACGCTGAATCCAGCTCTGCCCCCTCCTATCGGCTGCATCCCGCCCCCACCGTCACCCCGCTGTATTCTCCACCTCCAGCTGCGCCCACACCCCTTTCTCCTTCCCGGCTGCATGTATGCCGTTCTCCCTAGCTGTATCTCTACCTCCTCCCTTCGTGCTCCCTAGCCTCCTCGCTGCTTCTACATTGTATGGAGTGTGGCAAAATGTAGAATTGTTTATGTGATCAGACAAATCACTTCAGAAAAAAATTTAGTCGAAAGCGTTTTTTTCGCCAGATGCTTCTAGCTAAAAGAATTGTGACCGGCCACCACGACTGTTAGAAATTACTACAGTGACTCCTAATCCATGCCCAAAAAATTCAGCGCTCTAGATGCTTCGGTTGCGGGGTTACGCCAAATTTCACGTGTTCGTGCGTGAGTAGCGACGTGAGCGCTTTCTTCGTTTGCAGTTGCTTAAACATGGCCCTAGGTAGTGCTCAAAAAGTTTCAATGCTCAAGCTGCTCTGGTTGCAGAGTTACGTCAAATTTCACGTATTCGTACGTGAGTGGCAACGTGAGTGCATTCTTCGCCCGCGGTTACTCAAACATGGCCTTAGGTAGCGCTCGGAAAGTTTCAGCACTCCAGCTGCTCTGGTTGCGGAGTTACGTCAAATTTCACATGTTCGTACGTGAGTGCTTTCTTTGCCCGCAGTTGGCGCTCCGGTTGAAGAGTTACGTCAAATTTCACGTGTTCGTACGTGAGTGGTAAAGTGAATGCTTTCTTCGCTTACAGTTACTCAAAGACGGCTTCCTGAGTAGCGCTCAGAAAGTTTCAGCACTCCAGCTGCTCTGGTTGCAGAGTTACGTCAAATTTCACGTGTTCATACTATAAATAGGTACAAATATCTTATATATAGTTTTTATGCTATTTCTATTTCCTTCTTCTCATA